GGTGCTAACGTATAAAAAGTCTGTGTATGAATATGACGTCGTCAGTTGCAAAGAAGGTACAGCAACCGATATTTAGAAACAAAAACAGCAAGAAAACGTTCCCCAATGACGTAGAAGCAGTTACTGTGATGATACGTTTTGATACTTCTACTGGGTGTGGATTCCATCGGGCAATTTTAGACCAGTTTTTTTGAGAAAACTTACTCTTTGCCTAAGAATGCAGCATTTTATTCTAACTAAACGACAGTAAAACTCTCATGCACGTAAACAAATGCAATCGGACAATTATCTGTCTGTGAGAAACACAACTCAATATGAAGAATAGGGGTAGCAGGCAAGGACGGAATGAAGCCCAAATACGGCTTAAAAGTAGCAGGATGCGGTGAGTAGTGCAAAGGGTTGCTAATAACTTTAGCCCTGACAAAGAAGGCCAGCAAACAAAAACTTCAATCGGTCAGCTGAGCGCTTTCTAAGGAAGTATGTGCTGCCTGCTAGGCTGGCCTCTGCTGGTTATCAATGGCTTTCCAACATGCAGATGGGAATAATTACGAGATTCTGTCGTTAAGTAAAGCATATGGCAAGTATATGGTTGTTTATACTCAAAATAACCTCATTTGCAAAAAAACGATAATGCCTTATTTTAAAGGCTAAAATATAAATAGCAGAAGAAAACAAAGACCAGATAAAGGGCTTACAAATCCAGCAAGGCGCAGAAGTTCGGGAATTTTTGCCGCCTTGAACTGCCTGGTCAAGTATCTACCTGCAAATAAGGTATGTAAGTGTACAGCAAAAACAATACCTGTCAGGCCGACAGCAGCCAAGCCAAGACCGATTAAAACTGGTGTACTCTAGAAGGCAGGATAAACGGACAAAAAGGAACTTACCATCGAAAGGCTGTGCGAAAACAGAGAAGAAAAAACACAGCTCCTAAACCGATATAAAGTTTTATGTAATATAATAAAACAAATACTTGTGACCCTGCAAATACAGGAAATAGAGAGGACTCTTCGAAACTAAGCATAACTTTCATTAATAAATTGTAATGAGTCCAATCGAAAATGCGAATTTTTGTTTGAGAAAATAGAAAAAAGTTTAAGGTTGGAGCGGC